CCCGGCAGACAGCGCTTGCAAGTAGGGCCTGCTCCCACAGGTGCCTCTTTGCAAAGCTGCCCGTGGGTTCTCAGGGGCTGTTTCAGACCCTGCCTATCGCAGAAGGTCCAGCAGTCAGATCATTCCGCGGACTCGGGGTGCCTGGAAGACACCCTGAAGTCAGGGCCAGGCTGCCTCCCCAGGAAGGTGAGAGGCTTTGGCAGCTGGGCTCCCGCCCTTGGCTCTGCTCGGGCAGCGCGGGCTTGGGCAGTGGGGGAGGGAGCCGCAAGGTCACTGCGCGAAGGCCCGTGGGCCAGTGCCAGGGCCCTGAACCCGCTGGGGCCGAACTCCGGCGGGAGGCAGGCTGCTCAGCAGTAAGCAAGTTGTAAAAACCCAACTCAGACACAACATCTGGCAGCTGCTTCAAATACTTCTCTGTCTGAAGTTGGAGTTGCTCGCGGCCCTCCAGTAAATCAAACCGTGTGCAGAGAGGAGCCCTGGGCCGGCCCGAGGCACCCCGCTTGGCCGGGCCCCAGCCGCGCCTCCAGTCTCTCTTGCTCTTTAAATAGCCTGGGGTTCACATTCCATTTCCTTGTACGATCAATTCCGAGTGGGCCGGCTGGGGCGGCTGCCGGGGTGCGGGCTGCCTCCCTCCATCCCAAAGGAAGATGGGGGGAGAGGGGTACTGAGGCTCCGCGGGGAACTGGGCACGCGGGACCTCATGTTTCTGATGACTCCTGAGCAATGCCCACATCTTCTCAGTCACTGTAGCTGGTCAGAGGGACACCCAGAGAGGGAGAGGCCGCGTTCTCTTTCCACTCACAAGTGTTATGTTCGCTCCGCGCCCTCGCCGGACACTGACCTTGTGGATTCCACACACGGCCAGGGTGCCCACCCTGGAGAGGAAGGTCCATCATCGATCTGCTCTCGTGGGCCTGGCCGTCAGAGGCTGGGGCGGGAGGAAGACGGTCACGATGATGGGAAGACTGGCCTTTTCGGCAGCACCCCCGACAGCCTGGCACCGGGCTGTTGCATAAATACTCTCGGTCATCCCATGGTGGGGGCTGTTTGGCTCTTGGTGCTGAAGCCCCGGAACCCGTGAATGTGCCATCATTTGGAAGAGGGTATTAGCCGATGCCACTGAGTTAAGGATCTCGAGACGACTTCATCCTGGATAATCCAGGTGGGCCCTAATCCAGTGACAATGGTCCTTCTAAGACAGACAGGGAGACACAGAGGCGAGAAGGCCATGTGGCAGAGGTCGGAGCAGTGCCACCAGAAGCTGGAAGGGGCAGGAAGGACTCTGCCTCAGGGCCTCCCGAGGGAGCACGGCCCTGTCCACACCTTGCGTTTGCACTTCTGGCCTCCAGAGCTGTGAGAATGTGAATATGCGCCGCGTTAAGCCACCCAGCGCGTGGTGATTGATTGCAGCAGCCACAGGAAACTAACGCAATGTGGAAAGCAGGGGTCGGGGAGACTAGGCAAGGCCACACGGCGCTCCAGTTTCCACGCACAGGGTGGTGGGGCCGTGAGCAGGGCTGGGCACGAAGCCCAGGCCCTTCTCCCCACCACGCAGCCCCCACGCGGGGACCAGCTAGAAGGTGAAGTTCTTTGCTTTTTGGCGGAAGTTCATCCCACCTGTGGTCATCGGCAACCCTGCCGGCAGCTGTGCTTAACAAAGATCACTGGGAAGGGCCTTCACAAACGTGCTTCGGTTGAGAAATCTTTCAAAAGGTGCCGCCCAAGGGTGCAGGTGGAAGGCAGAATGGGACATCTGTGAGGAGACAGGGGAGGCGCGGTCCTGCGTGGGTGCTGAGCAGCTTCTGAGTGGACGGCCCTGCTGGATGGTGCCTGGGCAGTGGCGCTGAGGCCTGCACGGTGTCTCCGAGCTCCTGGGTCTGCTTTGCAGGACTCATTTCCCTAGGGAAACCGAGGGCCACGGGAAGAGCCCAAGGTGGAGGTTTTCCTACTTCCTCTCCAGCATCCCCCCTTAAATTCACTGTATTCGTTCCTCGGACAAGCCCTTGGGTGCCTGGGAAGACGCAGGGGGCGCAGGCCCGGCGCCCGGCTCTCCAGGCTGCGCACGAGCTCTGACACCCGGTGCGGACAGAGCTAATGTCCACACCGGGGGACTCCGAACTTCTCTTGGCCACAGCCCCCTGCAGGCCTCTGAAGGGAATGGGGGCCTGCAGGTGGTCTGTGTGGGTCCAACTCTGCATGTAATTCCGGGGCCCCGGGTCCCCCCGGGGCCAAGTGTCAGAATCAGCTACAGGCATTTCACCATGCCGATTCCCGGGCCCCACCCCCGCGTCCAAGCTCCTGCGATTCGGCCCGCCCCCGCCCCCCACCCCGGGTCTCCTGGTGATCCAGATGCAGCAAGTGCTTGTGAAGTTCAAGTTAAGGTCCCAGCCTAGGTCCTGGTATTCACGTGCTTCTCTAAGACACCTTTGTAGGGGAGGCTGTAAGGTCCCCTCTCAGAAGAGCTAGGGGATGGACAAATGAGGCCTCTGCTTTACCTGCCTATGAAGCAGACCAGGAAGAGGGTACAGCTGGGCCAGGGGGGTGGGGGCGACGACGGCCCCGGGGCAAGGTCAGTGCACCTTCCCTTTAGCCGGCTGCCCTTAGTCTGGGCTTTTCCACCGGGAACACTCCCTCTGCCCAGGAAAGTCGTTATCAGACAGACGGGCAGCGGTAGCCGCTGCTTCTCCAGCCTGGGAAGAAAGGTTCAGAGAAGTGCTCGCTAGCTCTCTTAAAAAACAAAACAAAACAAAACAAGAAAAGGAAAGAAAGAAAGGAAAAATAGAAGAAAAGCAAAAAGCAGAGTGCTGCTGAGGACACAGGGGTCCGAAGCTGGAGCAGGATTTTGCTGAGAACACCGGGAGGACAGGAGGACAGCCACCAGCGCCGCCCGCCAGCAGCTGGGCCCCGAGAAGCCCCGGGAGAGCCGTGAGTGGCTTCCTCTGGGCTCGCTGGGCCAGGACATCATTTGTTGATTCTAGAGCCCAGTCCCTAGCTCATGATTTCCTCCCCGGTTGCCATGGCCCCGTACAGAAAACACAGCAAACGCCTGGCCCCGGGCAGCTCATTTATTTCAAATATTCCTTGCAGCTGGACTCCAACCATGCTTGGGTGTCTGGACTGGAGCATGAACTAATTGCTCTGTCTTCGGCCCTCTCCCCAGCTCCCCCGGCATACTTTATGGTTCAGTAAAGTCCACATTCCTCATCTCACCGAGGAGGAGCGGGAGGAAGGGCGGGAGGGAAGCCGTGTGCAGGAGATGGACGGCGGGGGGAGGAGGGCGGGCTCTTCCCATCTACGGCCAAGCCTGAGAGGCTGCGCTACCTGCTCGAAGGCAGGGCATTAATTGCATCCACATGGGCCAGTCTGCAAGATGGTTTTATGAAGACCGCTCCCTTCAACAAGAAACCCTGCTCCCCCAGAAGTCTCCAGGCTGCACAAAGGCCCTCATTTTCCCTGTGCTTCCTACAGCCTCCCCGCCCCCACTGCCTGACCCCCGCTCCTCCCCCGGCGGCCCCCTTCAAAGCCAGCCGGAGTTCCAACTACAACCCAGACATGAACTCCAGAACTCCAATCTAAAAATAATTTCAGACCACCCTTTTCCTCCGAGCGTGTCTGGGGAAGGCATCTGGGGGTCTCTTTCCCAATACCCACCTTGATCTTTGGAGACGGTACCCAGGAAGAAAGAACATGTATCAGGAAGTTGGTTTAGGACTGTTGGGTCCGTTCTCACAGGCCGATTCCCGCCTAGGAACGGCCATTTTCCAGGACAAAGAGCAAGCAGCGCACGAGGTTTTAAAGCATTTGTTTGCACACTTGCGGGCATGCCCAGCCGGTTCTAAAACCTCACTTTAGCCTTGCTACCCTCCCAGGAGAGGGGCCCACGCTGACAGCCATTCACGGAGGTCCGTCCGAGATCAAACAGCTAGTGAGGGTCAGAGCCAGCACTTGAACCCAGGTCTGACTCAGGAGGCCGTGGGCTTGTCGCCAGGCCAACCCACCAACACACTGAAGGAATTTCCCTTTGCCCAGCAACTTTTCGAGAGAAAGAGCTGATGCAGTCCCAGTGGCCTTCAGGCTGTCTTAGGCAAGGCCACTCGAGGAGCTTGAGAAAACAGCAAATTCCTGGGCCTGGCCCCAGGAACGTTGATTCAGTCTGTCCGACGCGGGGCCTGAACACACGCACTTTCACAGACGCCTCCCGGGTGGTGCAGAGGCAGGTGGCCTGGGGAAAGCTGGCCGGGAGGCCCTCAGAGAAAGGGACACAGGGCTGGGGCCCCAGGGTCTTGGGCACTTGGACCAGGACACTTTCCAGCACCACCAGATCCTGACATGCCTTTAGAATTAAAAATGCCCACAGGGAGCTGGACGTACTCTTGTTAATTCTTTGGAAACTAGTCATGTCATGTGATCATGTCCAGCACATTTCTTGACTATTCTCTTTATCACTTACCAATCCTCTAAATAAGCCAGAATTTCCTGTTTTCTCTGCTGGGGGGTGGGTGTGGGGACCCTGCGCTCATCAGCATCCCTGTGCTTGGCGCTGGGGACAGACACGAAGATGCATGATCAGCTCCTCCCACTGACTGTCCGGAGCCTGGAATCCACCAAGGACCCCCATGCTGGCTCCAACAAGCCCACTCAAGCTTTATAACCCCTAGACCAGCCCGAGGCTCTCGTGGATGCAGGGGATCCTATCAGGTCACAAGTCCCTTGGTCTGGGGTGCCGGCTCACAGACTTCTGGAAAGGGATAGGGACGTCCTAGGACCCCCCCCCCCCCGCCCCGCTCCACCCAGGACCCTCCTGCTCTTCTGGGGCTCTGGCTTGCACCCCGCCCTCTGCCCAGGGGTGGGACAGGGGGCAGGTGATGACCTCGTTGTCTGTTGAAAACCGTGGGCAGCGCAGCTGGCTGGACCCAGAGGGGTCGGCCGCGCCTCTTTCCCTTCCCCCAAAGCACAAAAAGGGACTCAAAAGTGGCTTTGTGTTTTAATAAACTTTCCTTTATTATGTTACTGACTATTATCAACCATCATAAAATAGAATGGGAGTTTCGAAACTGTACAGGCCAGAGGGCGCTGGGCTGAGAGGAGAGAAGGGTGGGCTTGAGCCGGGTGCTGGGGGTGGGGCTGCAGAGAGATGGCCACAAGCCCCGCGAGGCCCACGGCCGCGGGAGGGGCTGGGTCAAGGCGGTAAGGCTGGATCTGTGTAAGGGAAACTCGCTCGTGTGCAACGTTCGTCAGAACAGGACCCGCCCTGAACCAGGAGTGAGGGGAAATCTTGAAAAGTCTTACAGGTAAGGTTCCCATGCCTGGAAAAAACCCCCAAAACCCTCACAATAATAAGGGGGTAATTTACATTCCTCACCCAGTCTTGGCACCAAGTTTGTGCTTTAAAAAATATATTCCACTGGAAGACTTTTTTTTTTTTTTAAAGGTACCCTACAGCAGCTGTTTAAAACATAATTCTTACGGACAAATATATATGCATATATATTAAACATTTTAAACAAATAAAATTATCTATTGTACCTGTACAGAAATGAACCAAAGTCAGGCTCTAAGGGAGGTGACTTCGAGATAAAGAAATGGCAAACGGGGTGGCAGGGGCTGGGGGCTGCTACGTGGGGGGGCCGCGGCAGAGAGGGGCTCCCTCTCCTGCTGAGCGCCGTGCCCCACCCCGCCCCGCCCCTCTAGCCTGCGGTGAACGGTGAACGGGCGCTAAGCCGCGACTTGCGTGGGCTCCCGTGAGGCGCACCCCCGCTCTGGTCTCCCTCATCCCACCCTGCTCTTGGCTGCTCAGGGTGGAGACCCACACCCCCTCCGGTCTCGGTGCGGTGGTCCTGTGGGACGCAAGTGGGGACTCTCAGCCAGGAAGGTGAAAGCAAAACCTAACCCACCCCTAGAAGCCACGGAAGACTACGGAAATAAAACCACGTGCAGAGATGGATGAGCCCGAGTGTAAGGAACTGGGTGGAGATATGGGAGCTGCCACAGCTGTGCAGCTGTGACTCCGAAGGCACCCATCCTGCACTGGAGGCTGACACTCCCCGGGGGACCCGCTCAGGGACTCGGAGCAGAGCCCCCTGGAAACTGTAGGTCAAGCGACCCAAACAAAGATACCTGTGCCGACACGGGGATATGCCACAGACACAGCCCAGCGAGCAGGACAGGTGAGACACACATGCCGGGGAGCGGCAGGTGGAGGAAAAGCAAGAGGACACTCCAGAGGTGACCAAAACAAGGTCCCTTTCTACATGGAATAAATAAATGGCTTTTCTTATTGTTCAGAGAATAAATACAGGGTCTGGGGGTGCCGGCAGCCAGGACTGATGCTGAGTGTTCAGCCCACGGAAGGTCCACTTCTGGTGGCTGCCTGGGTGTTCTGGTGCATTTCCGACGTCCTGAGCTTGGTTGCCGGGACATGACCCCTGGTCTAAGCACCTGTGGGCACCCCTGGGGTCTGCTCTCGGTGCCAGGACCCCTCTCGCCGGCCCCGCCCTGGGACCCGGCAGGTGGAGGCGACCCGTGCGCCCATAAGAGCAGGTGGGCACTCAGGGCCGAGCTTCCTAGGAGCCTGCTGTGTCTTCTTCCAAGGAGGGGTGGTGGTGCAGCGTGCAGGGACCTTCCGCCAAGGCAGGGCAGGGGAACGGAGGAGCCTGTGTCCAGAGCTGTGCACGCCTGTGTCCCGAAGGGCAGCCAGGAGGACGAGGAGGAGGACCAGGGCCTTCCTCCCCCGGCAGCAGACGCCCATCCAAGGTGCAGGTGCGGCGGAGGCTCGGTGAGTTGGCACCAGGTGGCTGTCGTGCTGGGGTCTTGGGTGGAGCGTCACTGGTAGAGGAGGTAGGCCTTGAGGGAGGCGGGCAGCGGCAGCGCGTGGATGTCCCCCAGTCGCTCCTTCCCCAGGGCCAGGCGCACGGCGCGGCGGCAGAGATCCATGAGCGGCACGGGCTCGGCTGGGGAAGCAGAGAGAGAGAGAGCATGTTGGCTTAGCGCAGCTCTGGACGGGTCTACAACAAACATTAACAACAGGGTAGCACCACTAATGTTAGCTTCAAGGCACAGTTGATCACTCCACACTTTTCATTGTAAATGAATTATTAATAGCCAACACAGAATCCATTCTGGGCCAGCACCCTCGTAAGCACTCGGCAAGCACTAACTCATTTAATCCTCACAATGGTTTACGAGCATTTCATAATCACAGGCAGAGGAGGAAACTGAGGGACAGAGGATCCAAATAATGCCCAGGGCGAAGCTAGGAGTCCAACCCAGGCCGTCTCTGCTCTTACATACGGGACAAGCAGCAGCCAGCAGGGCCCCCGCGGGCACCCTGCACCAGACCCCGTGCGGGCTCTCAGAAAGGGACTCCTCTTGTGTTAGCCCAACTGCTCACAGGCACTGTTCTCAGCTTCATTTGACAGTGGAGGACACTAAGGCACAGAGAGGACCTAACAGGCCAGGTCACAGGCTGGGCACCTGGATTTGAAAGCAGCTTCTCATTGCAGCCTGAGTCCCTGCCTCCCTGCCTGCGAGGGTCTGCGCGGCCCATGTCTCGGATTGACCTTCCGCCTCAGAGAGAATCTGCAAGTCGTTCGTCCGACGTCGGGGACCCCACTCGCCCTTCCTCCCGGGGTTTCCTTTCCCTTGACCTCTCCCCTAAAACCTGGGACAGGTGAGCACACCTGCAGCACCTCTGGGCCACACCACAGTGTTCTGGATGTAGGAGCTGACATGAATGACCTGTGTCTTCAACCATGTTCTCTGACTCTGAGTCTCCTTTGTGAGCAAAACAAAGAATAGACCAAAAAACAGAAACCCCCCCCCCCCAAAAAATAACCCGAGAAAAACCCTGGTGTTTCTCTAGAGAGCCCATTCCACCGACAACAAAGTAGATTAAGGTTCTTTAATATCACCAATGTGTCTCAGAATATTAAAAGTAACATTTCAAAAAAAACCACCTCAATCGTTAAAGACCAAACCCTATAGCTGGGGCTGTCGGGGTACAGGGGGAGCGACTGCTATGAGTGAGGGTGTCTTTTGGGGTGATGAACGTGTCCTAAAACGGACTGGACCAACTGCTGCACAGCTGTGACTATACTAGAGGCCGCTGAGTTGTACACTTCAAATGGGTGAATGGATGGCGCCTAAATTACATCTCTACAAACCTATTATTTAAAAAAAAAAAAAACAACAAAACCTAGAATCGATCATGCATTTGCTAAATTCCAGGCTTTAAAAGAAGACAAACAGCTGCTTTTCACCTCTTGGCGGGGCGTGGCAGGGGAAGGAACTGAAGTAGTAAATGTTTTTCGTGGACAGCTCTGATGCAGGGCCTTTGCTGGAGGTAGGAGGATGAATGAAATGACCTTGCATCCTGCAAGGTCGAGGGTTCCACAGACTCCGGTGAGTAGAGCCAGGTTTCTCCCCTGCCCACTCGTGAAGCCTTGGGTCTCCCTTATCATGAAGCATCCTTCCCTGGGCGACCCTAGATCTGGCTCCTTGCGTCCACCCTGCAGAGCAGATGGCTCAGCTCCCTGGGCCTCAGCTTCCCCATCTGCTAAGATGCGTAATTGACCACCAAAGTCCCATCCAGCTGAGATCGTGAAGGCCAGAAAGTGCGGCTCTTGGTCTAGACCTGCTGTTGGGGGGTGGCCCTTCAACCAAACCGTGCAGGGAAACTGGGGGTGCTTCCTCTCCTCCGCTCGGGGGCTCTCTTCTGTCCCGCCCCACCCCGCCTCCCCAAGGACGTGGCTCAGCCCCCACTGGGAGGCAGGGGGACTTCCCCTGGTGGCTGAAGGCACTTGAGAAGCATCAAGAGCCATTGAATGTGCACAAGAGCCCTGCCAGGCTGTGGAGTGAGGGCTGAGAGGTAGTTCCCATCACGCACTCTTGGCTGAATGGGTTTCTGGTCAACCCACGCACAGCTGTATGGAGGAGCACCTCTAACCAGCAGGGGCCTGCCTCAGCCGGAGTCTAGCTCCCTTCCTCAAGGGGTTCACAGCGCAGCACCCGCGGCAGCTGTGGCTTGTGGAGCACCTATCGTGTGCCTGCCGAGGACTGTGGTCCCCAGCCTACAGATGGGGAAACAGGCTCAGGGATGGGAGGGTCGGCATCCAAGGTCTGAGAGCCAAGGGCTAGAAGATGGATAGACACCAGCCCATGAAACTCTCAAGTGCGGCTCTTTCTACGCCAACATGAAGAGAAGCTCCCAGCTGCTCTTTGCAGTTTACCCGAAGGGGCAAGGACCTACAGCCATGCCTCCGACCCCCGTGAAAGTGCTGTGTGGGGGGAGCTTCTTCAGCCTGAACACCTTTTGGGCCACACAGAATAGCCCAGTTAGGGGGGGTTTATGTGATGGGAGGGGACGTGGCAGCTCTTCCAAGAGGGGCTACAGGGGCGGCAACTGACAGCTACACTGAGGCTGGGAGCTGAAAGTATGACCAGTCACCCAAGCATCCCAAGTGTGGGTCTACTCTTGGGGGCCTCAAGGACACAAAGAGGTCACCCCCCCGCCGACCTTGCAGGAGCCAAACGATGACGTGCAGGCCCTGGTCTGATCGCTTTTCAAAGGCCGGGCAAGCCGAGAACGCTCCCGCCACAGAAGCAGATGTGGGCGCCCGGCCATGGAAAGTGTCTGTCCCACGGGTTTTGGTTGGTCACGAACAGGACCGAGGAAGCACCCTCCTCCCCCATCAATACTCTACCTGGGGGCTGTGGACTCTGTATCCTGCCCCATCCACCAAGTTGGGTGCCTACTGAGGTTCCACCCAGCAAGTTTCCCAACAGAGAAGGCAAAGCTGATGGACAATTCCTGGCCACCTGCCAGCCCCTGAAGCCCAGGTGACAGGCTCATTTACACAGTTTATGTGAATGAGAGGGGGCGGCGCCCAGCGTGCAGCGCACAAACCAGGAAGTGAATCAGGGGCTACTTATGGGAGCAGAAGGTTGAGGAACTGGCGCGCCCACGTGCCAACTTCCGCGTGTCTAGGAGAAATGGTTACCTGGTGGCCCCAGTACTGCAGCCTGTGGCTCTCAAAGTCCCCTGAGACCACAACACAACTTGAGCCCCAGAGCCCGACGCCCTGTCTAGTTCTTGGCTAAGTGAGTGAGCTCTGGGTGGGTGGGTGGGTGGGGCCAAAGACCAATGTCTCCCATCAGGAAGTGCCCCGAATTCAGCGATGTCCCCACCCTCACCTCCTCCTGTGACTGGCCTCAGGCTCACTCCTGCAGGCAGTGGCAGTGAAAACGCTCCCTGAGACGGAAAGTCACCGTGGGACAGCCATCCCAGGATACACGTGTGTTTCCCTTTACCTCAAGCAGCTCTCACAAAAAAGCAGTGGCACGAAACCCCTTGCCTTTGCCAACCAGGGAAGAATGCCACCCAGCTGGGTAATGCGGGCACCCTTGGCCCCTGGCCTTCATCTCTGAGAGCCCACTCTCCCTGTAGAACCGGCCTTTTGGGGGGCAGGTGGTCCAGAACAACCCCTTCCCCCTACATGGCCCCTTTCCCCAGAAAGAGGCCCCTGCAGGGTGGGGTGGTCAGTCTCCCAAGGCCCCGCTGGAATGGGAGTGCCGAGAGGGCCAGCACCGAGGGAGGTGCCCCAGGAGGAGGTGACCAAGTCGACAAGCTCCTGAGGAAATGAGCTGAGGCTTGGCTAAGCCCGCAATCATGACAGACCACACCAAGCTTATCTGGGAACCTGAAAGGGGGAACTTGAGACTGTCTAACTCAGCGAAAATGATTCCATTGTGGGGACACCTGCTCCCAGTGGGGGCAGACAGGGGGACCCACGGGTCAGGGACTCTCCCTTGGGGGGCAGTGGTGTGCTGCTTGCAAATCGGCCTTTTCCTTCTGCATCTCCGGGGGTGGGGGGGGTGGCAGGCAGTCCTGGGGCCCCAGCTGGGCTTGGCCTCCTCACCACAGGACCGTCCCCCGCCCTTCTCCCTAGGAAAGAGCAGGATGACAGAGCAGCCTGTCTGGTGGCAGCCTCAGCCCAGAGGTCTCAAGCCCCTAAGGAGGAGTCAGAACAAGTGACCTGCGGCCAGAGCTCCCTGGAGGGTGGGGGAGTGTCCCCGGCATGGGGCAGGGACTCAGGTGGAGAGGGTCCGCCTGGTGTGCAGGGGACAGTGGCTGGGAGACCCAGCGCCCACTGCAGGGCCCAGGGAGGGCACACTCATGGGCGGCTGTAGCTGACCTGACCCACACACAGCGGCTCCCTGCAGAGGTGAGGCCCTGGTGATGGGTGGGGCAGGGTGGGGTGGGGAAGGAGGGTGCCGACAGGGTCCCAGGTGTCCCAGGGCGCGGTAATGGATCAGAACTACCTCCAAGGCTTTGAGGGCAAAGCCCAGTTGAGGCCTGACACCACGAACACCTGGCTGGAGCTCCCACCTGCCACGCCCTCCTCCCTGGGTGGGCCCCAGACCCAGTCCAACTGGGACATCCCTCCCTCCTCACCTGCCTTGGAAGGTAAAGCAAACCCCACTGGACAGAGCTGTTAGGCACCCTGCCACCCCAGTGCTGGGCCGTGGTGGCACAAAGAGAAGCAGGTCTTATGGGAATGGGCTCTGTTTGCTCCATGGCTCTATGGTCCCCACATCTGTAGAGGGGGGGCTAGTGTCCACTCTTCCACCCAAACTTAGGACCACCTGGAACCTCCCAGTGTGACCCCATTAGATCTTTGCAGTTGTGATTAGGTAAGATGAGGTCATGCTGAGTAGGGTAGCCCTGAATCCAATGGCTGGTGTCCTTAGAAGAAGAGGAGAGGCAGAGAGGAAAAGGCCACGTGACTAAGGAGGCAGAGATGAGTGATGTGCCTGCAAGCCAAGGATTGCTGGCAACCAGCAGAGGCCAGGAGGAGGCATGGGCGGGAGCCTCCTGGGAGCCCTCGGAAGGAACTGGCCCTGCCAGCACCCTGACCTCAGACTGCTGGCCTCCAGACCTGTGAGAGAATGCATTTCTGTTGTTTTAAGCCACCCAGCTAGTGGTCATTTGTTCCTGCAGCCCCAGGAAATGAACACACCACCCTCCCTGCTCCTCTCTAAACCAGCCACTCAGTCAGGCGTTTGACCCCACCCCACCCCACCCCACCCCTCCCCACCCACATGACTCTCATCAAGGTCTCCAGCAGCCACCTTGTCACCAGAGTGAATGGACAGTTCTCAGCTGTCAACACACTCCACCTGGCATCACCTTGTCCTTCATGAAGTCCTTTCTTTACTTGGTGTCCAGGACACCAATCTCCCCTCCAGCACCATGGGCACTCTGCCTCCTCTCCTCCTCGTACACCCGACCTCAAGCACTGACAAGCCCCAGGGTGTGGCCTTAGCCCTCCCCCTCCCCCCAGGTGACCCCATGCCAGGGCCATGCCTCGAAACAGCATCCGGCGCAGATGCCTCCCCAACTGACCACTGTCTCAGACCCTGTCTCCAGACTTACAGAGCCACCTAGACATGTCAAGTGAGCACTAGCTCCCGTCACCTCTCCCCTAGACAGCTGTCATAGCTCCTCCCTGGCCTCCCAGTGGCCAGTCTTCCCCTAACGCCCACTTCTACACAGCAGCCCGACCCCTTAGGATCTGAGATGCCCTCTTAATAGAGAGCCGAGGTGCCAGGAAGAGGCCGAGGCTGGCGGTTCTGACACACGGCCCCTCATCCCGCTCCCCACACATGCAGGGGGCCGAGGACGCTGCCACAGCTCACGGATTTCCCCGTCTGGATCCTCCAAAGTTAACGTCATGCAAAATGGGGCCAGGACTGGGCAAGGCGAGAAGCCACGTCTGGCGTTGTGACTCTGGTGCTGGGGAGGGACGTCCTCAGCACTGGACACAAGAGTCAGACATGGGTCCAGGCCACGGGCACTCCCAGCCTCCGCCCGGGGGCCAGGGCACGGAGCAGTTCTCAACGACCCCCTCCCAGCACAGCCCCCGCCCCCCTCAAACCTGAAGGTCTGGAGACTGCAAGACCAGAGTAAGCATCTGTGCTCCTGGCGCCCAGAGGGGCCTCCCACCATCTGGCCTGCGGTGGGGGTTGGGTCTCAGGGTACTGATCAAACCGGCCCCTCCATGACAGTCGGCGCTTGGGTGGGTGAAGCTGTCCAGCCCACCACCTTTGCAAGGGGAGACTGTCAGATGGTAGGAGGGACCCGTGACAGAGGGAGGGTCAAGCATGGGGGTGGACAGTTCCAGAGTTCCAGGATCACCTGCCACCATGGCTCCCAGCCGGGTGGCCACAAAGCCTGTCACCTCCCAAACTAGGACAGTACCATCATGTGAGTTACTTACACACATGGTCTAACAATGGCCACTCCTTTCTCCAAGGGGACAGGTCAAAATTGCTGCTGACTCTGCTGTTTCTAACCCATATGCTCCTCTCTAAAGGCCTCCTGACATCAGGACTGAACGAGCCCCTCTCAGGGGACTGCATCCCAAAGAAGCCTGCGCAGAAGCCTCCAGCCCCAGGGGAGAAAGATCCTAAACCCGTCTAACGAGAGTGCAGGGCCGCTGGCGTACAGTCACATGAGAGGACCGAGAACCACCAAGGCTGCAAAGCCCCGCCCAATGATGCGCTGGCTACTGTGCTAGACTTTGGTCAACTGCAGGTCAGACCTAAAGACAGGTCAACCAGAAACACCTGACCTTAGCCAAAAAGCTGAGAAGCAGTAGGTCAACCAGAAACAAACCACATCTATCAAAGACCATTCATCCATTTATTTATTTATTTACCATCCATTCACCCATCCATCCACCCACCCGTCCATTCATTCACCCATCCATCTATCCACCTGCCCATCCACCCACCGCCCTTCTACCTACCCACTCACCCATCTATTCATTCACCCACTCATTCATTCATCCATCCACCCATCCACCCTCTCATCCATCCATCCATCCATCCATCCATCCATTCATCCATCCATTCATCCACCAAACCTTCCATCCATCTATCTGTCCAACCACCCATGACGTGCTGCCAGGTTATCCGGCAGACTCTGGTTAGAATTTTTCATTTAACTAGAGGCAGGCAAAGGTCACCTCTGAGGATCTGAATATGCTGGGAGATCTACCCAAAGACATCTTAATTCCAATGGACAAATTTCCGGCCAGGCCCACCCAGCACCCCAGGGACATAGGCAGTCCAGGGACAGCAGAGAAGACACTTACGGTCGAGTCCATTCAAGTAGCGCATGCGGATCTCACAGTGGCCCCAGACGGCACTCACAACAGGATACAGTTTTTTGCCCTTGAGTCCCCGAAAAGCCACTCCCATGTACTGTCCATCCACAATGAAGCTCAGGGTCCCATCGTCCATGTCCAGGGCCACCAGGAAAGAGTCGGGGACAATGAACGTCTCATCCGGCTCCAGGAAGGCTGGGTATGTTTTGCTCGGCTGGTTCTTGCCGTCGTGGTAGAGCCGGTTGCGCCCCAAGTCCCAGCCCCAGGACTCGTGGTTGTTCCCCACGAGGGTCGTGTACCCGACAGAGTGCAGGGGGGCATCGGCTGTCGCCACACCCACCACAGCGTGCGTGCCCCGCTGCCTCATGGCCCATGTGATCTGCCACACGTGCAGCCCCCGCGTGTACCCGACTTTGCCCCTGATGGCGTCCGTGCTCTGGGCCACCGGATGCCGGTGAAAGATCAGCTTGTCATCCTCCTTCACGAAGACGTTGAGTGAGCGGTCATTGTTGTTCCATGAGTGGAGCAGCTGGACATCGTAGGACACGGGGGGCATGTCCAGCAGCAGGTCCAGGCGGGTGGGCTTGCAGTAGTCCAGGCCCTGGAGAGCCTGCTTCAAGGGCCGGTACGTGGGGTCCCTCATGTCCACAGTCTTGATCCCTCCAGTGACCTTCTGACCCATGTTGGCCTCCTGTCTCACCTGGTCACCACCTCCCAAAGCAAACTCATCGATCGCGGGGCCTCTTCTCCCGAGGGCTGCTAGGCGGCCTCTGCGAGTTGCGGAGCGTCCAGTACGGCCTAATGGATGGAAAGGAAAACAGGAGGCAGGGTGAGCAGGGGTGCAGGGGACAAGGGGAGGGAGTTAACTAGGAACACAAGGTTCATACAAACAGGCTGACCGCTGACTCGGCCCAGCAGCCTGGTTTCTGGGCTCTCATCACACCCAACATGGGGCGGGCGGAGCCTTGGGGTACAAGGAGACCCTGCTTGTCCCTGCAGCGATGTCATCACAAGGAGGAGAGGCCACCCGCCCGGCAGGCCGCATGGAGAGAGGGAGGCTTGGGGCTGGCGTTGTGCTCCACGGTGCCGGGTGCACCACGTACCTAATCGTGGCTTCCCAGGGCAGAAGGCCAAGTGGGCACCGCTCCCGTAGTCAGCCCATGCAGCGGGCACCTCCCCGCCGTAGCAAGGGGAGCTCACTTGCCGTGCCTGCTGCTATGGGAGGAGGGGACGCTCTGGGAGGCAGCGGGAGCTCCTGGGATGCCACCTCCCCACCCCCCTCTTTTCCAGCACAGCTGCCTTGCACAGGCCTCCTTGGCTCTCACCAGGGAGGGCAGCCCTGGGGTAGGCAGCAAGCTCAACGCAGGGGCGCGAGTGGGCTCGGTCGGAAGGCCCCACGGGCTGCTGGCTCGGCGGCCCTGGGGCTGCAGTGACCTCCCCAGGACGTCCCATGTCCTGCCGCATCGGGCATGGACTGCAGTGCCAGGGACGCTTGTCTCAAGGTCCCTGAGCCAGCCCACAGTCGGGTGGGCCTGGAGAGGCTCACCCCTCACCCCTCACCCCCAGGTAGTTCTGGACCAACCGTCGGATGGCTCCCACTTTCCCTCCTACCAGAAGCCAGTGCTTGGCTCCTCGGGCTCCAGCAGCCCACCTGGGCAGGAAGTCCGCCTCCAGGACACCGCGTTCCTGCTCTGGCGTCCCCGTCTGTTGGCCCCTTTAAGGGGGGGCGGGGCCGTGGGGCCGAAGGAGAGACCTCCCTGCCTCTGTACCATCCCCTCCATCGGGGGGGCGGGGGAGGTTCCACCCAAAGGAGGGGCTGAAATGTGGGGCAGATGGGACCCCGATCACCCCTGCCATTCCTGTCCCCAGTGCCCACCTTGAATAAGGGGAAATAACAGGCCACCTTGGTTTCCCGAGCCTCACTCCTGGGCCCTTGAAGGGACTCCTGGCTGCCGGTGTGGGGGACGGGCTCCTAGGACCGACCAGACAAGGAAGAAGGCAGCTCCTGGCTACACAAATGTAACTAAACAGGTCTGCAGAGGGGCCCGGGCCAGAGGCCAATGGGCTTGGCTGCTGGGAGAGGTGTCACAGGGTCACTTCCTCTAAGCAGCACTGAGGTGCCAGCGATGAAGAGAATCCACAGGGGCTCGGGTGGCAGGCCGCAGGGCTCCCCTCTGCAGCTGGCATATTGCTTTTCCGCCGTGGAAGGAGAGTGCCTGCTGGGACGGGAAGCAGGGACTGGCGCCCAGGGAACCTGGGAGCCTGGGACCACTGTCCTCCTGGTGGTGCGCCCGCGGCAGCAGGGCCAGAAAGACAGGAGGCACGAGCAGAGGGGCTGTGTGGGTGTCCCTCAGGTCTTCCGGCGGGCCCGGAGCTGGCCCTCTCCTGCGAAGAGACCCCGTGAGACGAGTCTCCGGGGCAACCAGGCCTCTTGGGGGCTAGCTCGGGGCAGAAGGAACGTCCCCGTGTGGGACCATTTGGCCCCGGACCCCTGTATCTCAGTGGGCAGGTCATGCTTCTCACCCTCCCCTTCCTGGTGTGAACAGAGGCCTCCCTGACACCGTCATTTCTTCAAAGACAGTCTCGGGGACCCCTTGTATCAAAAGGCGGTACAGAGCTGAGGCGCCCCTCTGCAGCGGGGGGAGCACCCTGATTCCAGAAAGTTCCATGGGTATTGGGACCTCACGTCCTGGATCTCCCAGGACAATCCCGGTTTTAAGCTTCAAGTCCCATCGGCCCCGGAGAGCCACCGACAGCTCCAGGATTCCCCTCCAGCCTGCGGGGGTGGGAGAGCCTGCGGCTGGGTGTGGAAGTGCCGCTCCGGGCTCCCAGCCTCCATCGAGCACCCTTCTGAGCTGGGGGGAGGTGGGCCCCAGGCAGTTCTCAGCATCCTTCCTGCCCCCGCCAGCGGAGGGTGCAGGAGGGACACAGGTCCACTCTCGGGGAGGACGAGGAGAAAATGGACTTCCTATGGCCACCTGTTTCACTGCTCCTGGGAGCAGGGTGGCCGCAGCCTTTCCTGGGCTCTGCCATCCCTGCAGGAAGGACTTCCAAAATCTCACTGCGTGGGAGACCCCCCCGCCCACCCACCCATGGGAGCAGGCGGAAAAGTGCAGAGGAGGCTGGGGTGGGGGCGGAGACACCTGCCGGTGGGACTGGGGGAGAGGAAGGTGGGGAGAGAAGTCCAATCAATGCATGAATTTAAAATACTTTTAGAGAAATGGGTGGGAATGGAGGAGGATGGTAACAGGGAGGAAGGGCGGGGTGGTGACGAGACAATGGGGCGGGTTGAGAAGGGGTGAGAGGGAGGAGCCCCCAGGCCAGTGAGCCTGGGCCTGGTCACATCAGTGACCCCTACCGGAGCTGGAGCGGGGATCCGCTTTTTCGGCAACGTGCTAGAGGGTAAATGTTTTAGGCTTTGTGTACCCGACAGTCTCCATACAACCACTCAGCTCTGCCTTGTAGCATGAAAGCAGCCACAGGCAGTGCGCAAGTGAGTGAGCATGGCTGGGTTCCGATAAAACTTTATTTACGAGAACAGGCGACGCAGAGTTGGCCAAGCGCTGAGCTATACAAAGGGTCCCCCCGCCACAGCGCCAGCACAAGACGTCCACTGAGGTGGCAGCAGGGGGAAAGCATAAGGTGCAAAGGAGGAGGAACCTCCCCACCCTCCTCTCCCCGAGTCCCACCAACCTCAGAACGAGCGACCAGAGAAGACAGCGTCCCCTCACTGGGGCAGGCCGTCTGTCTGCCCAGGTCAGCCCCACAAGCTCTTCCCGGCCCGAGATTCCGCCGCCTTCAAGGCCGGCTGCCAGGCAAGTCCACGTAACTGACCCCTGCGCTTAGCTCCTACCGTCCTGGGCCCCCAGGTTAGGAGCCGTCCAGTAGGGAGGGCCCCGTCCCGCCCCTGGACCACACGACCTTGAGCGGAGGGAGTCTCTGGGAAGAAGAGGCAGGAGGGCAGATACTCGCGGCATCATGGGGTGACTCGGCACAAGGGCACCCAGGGCCTAGCCAGGGGTTGTGGGCCCCCCACTCTGCCGCCTCTGGGCTGTCCTGCCCTCTGAGTCACCTCCTAGGCGGTCAATTGCTGCGGCAACCCCAGGGCCACTCTGACTCACCCGTCACCTTCCAGTCTCCACCCTGTGTCCAAGCCATGGGTAGAGCCAACACTCCCTCCTCCCTGCCTGCCTAGTGGCCACACCTCGCCACATCCCTGCAAGGCACCTGAAGCCACGCGGACGCCCTCCTCCTTTCATCACTTTTTAAATGCTCTCTGTCCTTCTGCGAGTGCCCGGGAGCTCCCCGCGTCCCCACTTGGGGACCGCAGTCTGGTAGGACGCCTCCTTCCCCCCGGCTCCTCCCCTGGGGCCTCCAATCCTGGGGGAACTCGCGCACCGAAACAGAGGCTGGGGCCGCTGCCCAGGGCTCCCCGCGGCTTTTCCAAGCTTCTGTTTGCTCTCCCGCAAGATGGGTGTTCCATGCTTCACCAAGACTCAACGGAGACAGCGGTCCAGAGAGGACCAGGTACGACTGGCAAGGTCACTTTTTTCCCCCTCTCATCTGTGCTCTGTACACTGAATAAAGATCAGTCACCCCTCTTCTTGGTCACAGCACCTGGCTCTACAGATGGACGTTGTCTCAGGGCCAAGACCCAAGTGCTTAGAATGTTGAGCTAGAACAGATCAAGTTTAAGGTCACTTCTAAGCCAGGGGTTGGCAGGGCCCCCAAAACCACCTGTCCTCTCGTTTCTCGGGCTCCTCCAGGGGGGCCCTGCGTGCCCTCAGGTGGAGGGGCAGCCGGGTGGGGAATTAGCGGAGACGCAGGGAAGGAAGCCCGGAGCCGGATGCCGATCCCTGGATGGCGAGGAGTCAAAGGCATCCCTGAGCTCCCTGTGTCGGGGGCTGAGACCCAGGCCAGGCCTTTCAGGACCTGGAGGCGGAGGAAATGGGCACACCCGCCGCCACTAAGGCTCCTGTGTGTGTGGGCGGGGACACCTGTTGGATACGCCCACTGTTTCCACTCCCCAAGTCACAGAGAAAATGGGTGCTGCCAGAGTGCTGTCGGTGAGGGGACAGGGGACGAGCGGCGGGGGGGACACAGGGTTAAAAAGGTCGAGGGAAGCGAGAGGATGAGGGGGTGCCACTCAAATAGGGGTGTGGGTGTGTGTCCGAGACACACAGACATGGGGGACATGCTTCTCGCTTGCAGGTGCCCTCCAGGTACAAAACACCCAGCAATCACCCGCCGCCTGCTCTCCCGAGTCCACGAAACCTTAGAGTCCTGCACAGGGACACGTGGACAAAGACACGCACTGAACCGTGAACGCCAGCAGACTCGGAGAGGGGGAGGCAGCCCTTCAGATGTACTGACTTAACATAAAATGTAATGTGATGCTGTTGCATGTTAAAAAGCAGCTTGGAGAACAATATGCAGAGCGCGATCCCATTTCTGTACGAACGGAATTTACAAAGATGCTCTCTGTGAGCCTTTATCTGTTTGTAGGCACAGGGCAGGGCCTGGAAGAATAAACGCAGAGCTTCTCACAACGGTTAACCCTGCCGGGCGGGGCGGGAGGAAGACAATTCACTTTGAACACTTTTGAAATGACACTTTTAAAAAATGCATATATTACTTGCATTGTAATGATAATGATTTTTAAGCACACAAAAAAGAACAAAAGGCTGAAAAATATCGATTTAACACACACACTACACTCACAAAAACAAGTCGTCCCCAAAGCAATTCCCAAAGGTTTTCCACGTGTGTTCACTTCTTTTAATCAAGCACAGGATACG